ACCTCTGTTCCCTCTTAACTTAGGCAAAAGCTTGTTTATAGGAAATTGATTCATAATCTGAATACGCGCAACAGCAATCTCCTCACATTGCCACAATACGGGACAGCCATGTGTCAACGCCCTTTCAAGAACAATGCGGTGAAGTTAATTAATTCAGGTGGCCAAAACTTTACTAGCAACTACATATTTCAAAAATCCTAAAAGGTCTGTTTATCAAATGCTCAATTATTTTTCATTTCTACTTTTTTTTTTCGTTAGATTAAATTGTATGTTCATCTTATGTTTCTTCCTGATCTGTCAGATTGGTACGAAGGTCGTCTACACCCTCTACTTTTGGATTACAGCAGTTCTTTTACTGATTATTTTTATTTTGGCTAAGTTTTAGGTTCCCTACAACTATTTTCTGATTACCTGTATCAATTATTCATAACTAAAAAGATTCTCTTTTCAATTTAGACGTTTAATAGGAAAGTTGTCAGCAAATTTTTTGTACCTCTCCATGAAGGGCTTTTTCATAGTCTCCCATATAATTTCGTTGTAAAAGAGCCTATTACATTTTTTCTGTTAATTTCTGAACATCCGATAAGCCGAAGTGTAGATATTTATGGCCCGTATCGTCAGTCGTCCCTACAATTGTAGGGCGCCCTTATGGCCTCCTTGATTGTCATGGTTTTCTACTTCTCCGTGTCAGAACTCTATTTTGAGGTTATGTAACAAATATCTATTTGCATCAAATTGTGCTTGCTTTTGAGTTATATCATGTTTTATCAGCCTGAAATTTCCTACAATTTAAAAAGAAAACATATCTTCACAATAGGAGAGCGCTGACGCTGACACGGGACAAGCGTAATCTAGAAATTTTTGAAGGAGAGAAAGGAGTATGACAATCAAGGAGGGATAAACGCACCCTACAATTATAGGGACGACTGACGATACGGGCCTAAATGCAGGTCTTCTCACCAAAGCGAAGGCTACGTGACCAGTTGCTCTGTCTTTGCTAGTATTGAGGTCGCTAGTCGGTTTTGAGCTAACCACTAGTTGACAATAGCAGAGATGACTGATGTATCTCATGAACCGTGACAGTTATCTGAAAATTCGCAAGTCCGCTGCATCTCCGATTCCAATATTCAGACATTTCTGAAAAATATGACACTGATTATTATTAAGAGGTTAATAAAATTATGTGGTCGATTTTTATCATTGTAGTACCAAATTCGATTCAATAATTTTTGTTATTTTCCTTTAGTCAAAGTTGATTATTTATTTATAATCTGCTTTCTTACTTGTACGTACATCATGGATACTCAGTAACCTTCTCTGCAACCTCAAAACGAAGCTGCAACTTGCTTAGCAGCGGTTTTCGGTGAAAATGCAAATGTTACATAAATTATGACATCACAATCAGATCGAGTTGCTTTTGGTAAGAGCAGTACCGAACATACAAAATTGTCGTAGAGTATTAGTCGTGTAAGGATACTGGCTAAATTGGCAAACGCATGAAGGAAGAAGCCATTCTTGAGATAGACAATCCTGGCCACGATAGGTAAAAGAATGAGTAACCTACCGCTCATCGTTTTAAAAGGGGATAACAATATCACGTATAGACAGTGTACACTGGTCCTCAGTCCTTCAAACATGTGACCAATAAAGCCATCTGAGCCTAGTGAGAACATAGTGAACGGGAGGTGAGATAATGGGTAGTAGTACCACCTCCTGCATGTAAACAGATAGCTGTGCTGTTACTGGTTAATCACTCTTCCTTACCTGCGATCTCAATACTACATCAGATAGGAATTCTTTCAGCTTAACCGTACTTCATATATTAACAGGTCCTTGGATCTAGGAGATCGAAAATGTGGGGCAGTATACTAAAAGAGGATTTCTCCAGTTTGTATTTCTATACTCTATTTATTTGCCGAACAGCTCTCTGCTTGCTTATATAAAGAAAAAATAATACGATGTATGAAGAAATTGGGTTGAAGTCGGACAATACTCCATCAACAGGGGTTGGATAGAGGATAGAACATCATTCATTCCAGAAACCAAACAACTCACCATATCCACTTTAACGCCAAGCTTAGCTCCTGTGGCGCCCAGTTATCTAAATAACTTGAGAAAGACGAAATAAGTTTTCTAAAAACTAAAAAAAATGCTATCAGATTCTGATGTGTTTCTAAAGCACATTCCTTTGTACTAAGTAAGGTCATCATTTCCTGAAATTTACGAATATGGTGAGACTCATTTAGAAACAACTTAAGACGTCAAAATGAAGCAACTTCTTGGCCACAGGGACACGGCACACATGGTTACGCGAAATGAACGTATTGCATCATTTCGTTTTTCAAAGTTTACTTTAAAATTCTTCATGATCTAGCTTGCAGAATTTGATATAAAGCGATACACAACGCTACAGTGAATCAAAATAGTAGGATTTTACTGTCAATCTCCAGGACCTGTTATTCTACCTCACCGCGCATATCGGAGCTGTTTCAGATAAGGATTGGAAGCACTCAGTATCAAGAATTAGCCATCTTGTTCCAAATGTTCATCAACAGGAGACAATATTGAACCTTTGTATTGCTGAAAATGAGGGCTTACTAGAATATCCAGTTTCCATTACTGGCGCTTAAAACTGAATACTGCCGCAACATGTTTTGATGAAGACACTTCAGGGGGTAGACAATAGCTCTAAAACATTGAGGGTATTAGAATAAATATGATTTTATGAGTCTGCTAAGATCCATTGCCTACTCAATAAGGCAATATCTGCTACTAATTAATTGTCATATAGGAATACGAGTACGGGAGGCTAAAGGTTGTACCTATTTTCCCGTCAGTATACAACATTCTGAAGAAGATTTCATTGAAACTCCAAGACAAATAAGCAGGTTCTGAAAAATTTTAAATACAACGTCCATTTTGCGCCACCATGTACTTACGTATAAATCTCTCTTTATTGAATATGCCTTTTGTCTTTCATTAAAATTATTGGTTACCCGTTTCGGTTTCGCTATGATCCGTTGGGAACACATCCTCGTGAAAAAGAAAAATAGCTAAAACCTTTATTGACGTTCAGCCTACAGCGATAAAGCTTAACGTTAACGTTTCCTACGAATGATGAATTGTCTGAAGACGCCACCGCAACCTTGAGGCCTTCTTTACCAGCCCACTCATCGGCTTACCTGGCATAGAAAGGAATTTTTGCGGTTAATAAAACATGTATCTTGAGCCCCACGTGATTAGGAGGTAGGCTAGTTGGGACTGGAGCTAATTGAAGCTAGGACAGGCACAAGCCAAATTTAGAAACCACTTTTGTAGGATGGAGTGGATGAAACTTCTGTATTTCGAAAATAATAATAATAATTTATTGTTACTAATGCACGTGATGTGCTTACACAGGTCAAAGCAAAATATATACACAAAGAGATAATAAAAGAAGAAACAATATATTATGAATGAGACAAAGGTAAAGTATGGTGACTAGAGCAGTAGCAAAAAATAGGAAAGCTATGTCAAAACAGAGAAGTCGGAACATATAAATTCGTGTATGTCAAAGAAATCTCTTGATAAAAGAAAACCCCATAAACTTACTAAAATTGTCAATATCTAAAGTCTGATGAGGTAAGGCATAAAACAATTTCAAGTCAATTTTAGTGATTCTGTGATATTTTATGTAGTAGTTTGACTTATTTCGAGTATAGTATGAATTAATTTGTTGGTGGGTTGTGATTAATGTAAACACAATGCAAAGTTATGGTCTTTAGTATTATAAGTTCTTCTCTACAGGGATCTCTGTACAGGCTTGCAGTGTAGCTGACAGACCTGCTCTATAGAGCAAACCCTCTGTCCATAATTATGTGAGATTACGAACTAAATAAATAATTTTGTTAATGACGCTAATATAATTAATGTGTTTATCCCAGCTTAGCATTTATGTATATGCCAAAAAACTTAAGAGAAATATTTGAAAATTGTTAATTTAGGCATACGGCAACTTTTATGCATCGTATGATTGAAAAAATAAAAGGCACAGGCATGCTCTCACCGAAGGAGGGTGAATATATGAGTGGAAGAAAATTCCGTTTTCCTAAAGCAGCTCTTGAAGGGAGGGTTTTATTCTTTTTGTAACACGAACCCGGAATACTTCAGGCTTTGGATGAGGAAATTATGCCCGAGAAAAGTATTTAGCAAATTGATGGAAGTATGTTTTATGTCTATGGATTGCATTTACGATGCCTTTCTATATTTTTGTTTTTAACAACCGCCCTTGCTTAACATACTTTCCGGTTCCGTCAGAGGCTGATTCAGGCGAAAATTAGAAGATAAATATTACATACATTTCATCTTGCAGGATACAAACTGATATAAACCCTCAAATATATTTTTGTTCACGATATCTAACAACCACATCATAACTTCTGAGACTTTGGGGATCGCATAAGCAGAATATTTCGTATTTGTTAGTTGGGGAAATCCAACTAAGAGCTATTCATTTTGCGCATTACCTTCTGATTGTCATTCTACCCTCTACTTTGAAAAACGGCCAAAATGACAGAAACCTTGAAACCTGTAGTTTAATTTGACGGCCAGTAGAAAATCGAGGTTAAAGTTATTGCGTTTAGATATCTTATTATACGAACCTTACACAATTTTCCAGCCTTTCGCCTCACTTTAAAGAAATACTTTGTTTCCTCTTATAGATGTCAATCTCACGCAATCTATACCTATTTGAAAGAAAAATTAATGCTCATAGTACTTCATTATATGGCAGAACCAAACCGTATATACAGGGTGTCCGCAAAGTTGGGGTTTTCCTTTTCAGAAATAACTACCCGTGAAATAACAAAGGTAATATGCAGTGAAACGAGGGCGTCCAAGTAAAAAAAAATAAAGGAAAAAGTACTCACTCTCCAGTTGACGAGAAGGGCTAAGTACGTCTCTGCCCGAAATCATATCGCTCCAACAGAAAATGAAATCAGCTGACGCGCTACCGAGCAGACGCAGAAACCACATTGATTGTCTTACACTTAATGGCACATCTTCTAACAAGGAAGGCAAAATGTTGCGTAAAAAGTCTAGGTATTGCATCCCGTCCATTCGATTTGGGAGAATAAATGGTCCAATGAGCATACCGTTCACCATGCCAGCCCAAACATTCACCGAAAATGTTTGTTGAAAATGTGCCCGACGGACAGCGTGCGGATTTTCTACTGACCAAACATGAGTGTTGCGAATGTTATTCACCCCGGTCCGGATTATTGTCATGTTGATGCAACAACCAGTCAGAAAACCGCACTCTTGCTAGAAAATCGTCAGGTTGAAGGGCTTGTACACGTTGGACGTGAAACGGATACAGCCCCTCTTCACGCAGCGTTTGCCACACTTTAGTTTTTGATACTTGCACTTCTCTAGTCACGTCTCTAGTGCTTGTTGTGGGATTCTCGTCTACACGATTACCTCTACACGCGTGACCGTAACCGTCGGTTGAAGGTTGCATACTGACCTGACACACTGACCCCGACACAGTTCTGTCGTCGGGTTGAGCCAGTGACCTTGTACCAATCGGTGATGTCGCGGGTCGCGGCTACAGGACGGTATTCAGGTATCTTTGATGTTGCAGAGCCCTCTATCTCGGTTTCCTTAAGACATTGGTGTATATGGTACTAAGAAAAATTGGTTATTTTTTCAAGATCTACACGTCGTGTAAAGGAAAACTCCAACTTTGCGGACACCCTGTATATATATATATGTTTTTCTATTTATTGTATATTACATATTTTGTTCGTCTATCTTCCAGGTGATATTTCGTCTCTTTTTTCTCTTTTGCATCCCTAGACAATAAGCTATTACAGCAGAAGCGAATCCATCATCCCAAAAAGAAACGAAATTGCACATTATCGACACTTAAACAGAATATATTGCCAACTGTACTAGAGAAAGGCCACAGTGTTGGTCGAAAAGTCGTATAGTAAACTCAAATTAAAACAAACATGTGGTTTGATTCGGCCAGAGAATGGAGTCTTATGAGCATGAAGATCACAGAATAATTTTTGGGAGTTACTTCGAAATTTATTGTATAAACTTTTTTCTAAGAAATTATTCTGAACAAGTTGTGTTTTCGATAATTCACCTCTATTTTCCATCCCCAAAATGTACTCTCATGAGCTCATTGCAGGAATCAAAGTTGAACCTTTTTAAATATTTAATACTAGGGCGTCATCACTTTTCATCTCTGAAAGAAAGACATTCCTCCCTTGAGTGACAAATCAGATATAATGATGACATTGACCTTTACAGTCTGGTATGAATAATAACCAAGATTCATCGTTCATAAAAGGAGGTTATAAACTTTAATCAGTACGTTGCATCGGAATCCCTTTTTTTATTTGTTCAGCCGATCTACTTTTTGAACAACAAATCCACCTCCACACTCCTACGTTCGAACTCATTGTATACCAAATGTTGATTCTGTCTCATGTCAACCTCAACTGCAGACACAGGGAAGAGAGAGAACAAAACGCGAGTTTCCGTGGCCGGTATTTATTCTCGTCCAAAGTATACCAAATACTAATAGCAGCATCACACAGCAGTTTCAGCCAGTTTCTTCTTATATTCATCCTCCCATCCGCGAGGCAGCTATTTCACGCTGAAGGAACATTGTTCTTAATAAGTTGGGGATTCCCACATATACCGCTTGTAACAGAAGTAAAACAATCGGTCTTTTTTTGGGCAAGCTATAATTTTCTGTGTGGATTTTGTTCCCAGGATGTAGTCCATTTTACTCAAGAAATGTTACTAACTAATTCAAAACTATAACTTTGTATATATAAATAATAAATATCTATATTGGTATCTTTTCTAGTTATTCTAAAATCACTTCTACAGGCATTGAATATATGCAAGCCACCTTACTGAATTATTATTTGCTAATTATATAACACTGTTTACATTGTATATATGAAGATCAACACGCATCCAAGTACAAGTCGCTGAAAGTCTGATCTTGATTTTTTCGTCAACAATCTTGCTAAATTTCTAGGAATTGCTTTCTAACTTCACACTTTTTAATTTTATTTGACATTCAGAAGTGACTTAGATCTTAGGTCATACCTGGACACATTCTTTCGAATCCAGGTATCAAAAATAGGACTTTTCGGTTAAAAAATCAAAAGTTGACCTTACCTCCAAGCAGGGGTAAATCCAAGGCCACCGTTACGCTCCTGCTTCAGATTTAATAAAGACCAGACCTTTTTCAACAATACCTTACCGGATAAAAGACAAGAGACATTTCGTTACTTTTGTTACATCCGGTATAAATAGATGTTACGACAGAGCATAAAAATCGAGAACCGTATATCCTAGGTTTTTGCAAAACCAGTGATCACATTGAGCAGTAAAAACGAATACTCTGATAGCTTTGTATATTCTGGTACAGAAACGGGGAGCAGCGTACCATATGTTGTGCAAGTCTCTTCCGTTTCGGTGCCCGACGCTACGTGTAGCAGCTTAAGGTATGAAAGGTAACTCAGCGGGTGACCTTACTCTCAATATTCCGTAAACCTTGCCCGCGAATGGCGAACGGCGAAATATATAAATCCCTATTGACAAGTAACAATTAAATAACAACAATAGAACGCGGCTAAAGCCGTGTCTACATGGACGTACGGACGTGTCGTGCACGTCATTTACAATTCAAATTCTCCAGGGACATCTTGCGTCGCTCGGAGTATGTACCGATACAGTATGTATGGGGACAGCACGCTGGTGGTGTTTAGGATGTTGTGGCCAACTGTGAGCGAAAGGTGGGAAATGTTTTGGTCTGATTTAAACGCCTACAAGTTCTAGATCTGGAATACGTTGCATAGACTTGCGGAAGCTCATCTATAGATTTTATGTGTCTCTTGCGTCTGCTTTCCGCCCTCTGCCTCCCGAAGACCTATACCATACTGACGATTCCGAACAAGCATAGAACATCGCAGTATACGATTTGTCACAGCGGCAAAAAGCAGACAGATCCATCGGCGTAACGTGTCAATGAGTACTGAGCTATTTTGCACACCATGTACAGTAAAAATGCTAATCATCTAAGTCTTTGGTCTAATCTCCATGTCTCCGTAGGAAACCTATAAGACTTGGACGTACTGTCCTCCCATTACTTTTATAGTTCACAGCACGTCATGTGACCCGTTTAGAGAATTTGGACATTGGTACATCTTCCACCGACCATGGAAATCGGATGTTACCTAATATCTACTTACGCCCTTTCTCTCGACACCCTAGAAACAAAGGAGCGGTCGTATCGGCGACATTACGGAGGAGAGCTCTGAGGAGCAAAGCCCATTGCTCTGGCGGTAGAAAAGAGCTAGATGGCCGAAGACCCGCCGGTACGAAAGGGTCCCGAGACTGCTTGTTAGAGAAGAATCATCGATCAGTAGGACAGCCCTCCTATGAACAGCATCGAGCATGTATAATGTAATCGAACCAGGCAAAAAGGATTGAGTGCCATCCCTTATTCTTTGGACCCATTGTTGGACCTCCTTCTTTGGACCTCATGTTTTGGATGACTTTTAGTTTTAAGAAACCCATTTTTGGATTGCTCTTAGCCGTTGGCCACCTTAGACTTACCCTTTTTGTACCTCCTTTTTTTGGATCTTCACTATGGTCTTGTTTAATATCTACGATCCTAGGCTACTCCAACCTCAACCTTTATGGATCCACTGCCCATGGCTTCCGTGGGTTTGAAAGGCATGGAAGTGGCAAAGATAAGTAGTGTTCTTTCTCATGTCATACTGCGTAATTTATTTGCCGAAAATTGGTCTTTCTAATGTAAACAGTTCGTAGGTCTTCTTCAAAAATGTAAAAGCAAAGTAAAGCTTATTTATCAAATATAACGATAATATTGTGAAATGAATATGAAGCGTACACAGTTTAGAATGGTAAACAAACAGGAAATCCACAGGAGGAAGCTTGTGGGATTTTACAAATGACAAAAAATATCTGGTATGGATATTCGTATTATGGATATAGACGTAGCGCGTCTTTTGAAATTTCCAGTCCATGGCAAGTATTAGTAAAATAACAGTCACTCATGTATTCCACTATAAAGTAGTTCACATACTTAAAAACAGTTCGAGTAAAGTCGGTTCATAATATTGGTTATAAAATCGGTAAGGTAATCCATAATCGCTAATTTGAAAATGTATGATTAAAACAAGCATATAATCGTTAAAATCGTCTACAGTCGGTTAACTTTAAATTTAAAAAAAAAACTGACATATTCATCTGACACTGACATACAATCTTATTAAAATTCAGTATCGATGAAAATAGAGACAGAGAGGAAAATGGATAAAAAGACAAAGTAGGTATACAGACATCACATCAACAGTTTCAATACATTTATGAGACCTATAGAATCATCACAGATATCAACAGAAATGCTTTTGCTTAATAAAATGTGCTCTATTTTGTTTTTCACTCTTGTCACCATACCATTGTCAGGTTTTGCCACACTTTGAGTCTAACGCCTAGAACTGAGCTGTACTAGAAGTCAGTTGTACTCCCTCTTCTGTGGAAAAGTTTGCGAGGAATTGTATGACATATAGCAATAATTGACACATGTCATTTAAAATGTCTACAACATCGGGCGCCGTATTCCATTTGACGGTCCACGCCACCCATTTTGCACATAGCGAATACTGCAAGGCGATTTTTGACACTGTTTTCTTCGCACTCATAATAATGGCATTCAATTCACATTCTAGCTGGCCTGAAAATGTTCCTTGAATGACTTTGGACCACTGTGAATAAATAGCTCAATGTTTTCACCCAATCTGTCTCTGATAACAGGGACCTGTTGGTGGTCAGATCTTCACATAAGTTCATGCTAACTCTACCCAAATATGTTGAGCTACTTGCATTTTTCAAGATTTCTGGCCAACAGATGTCAATAATTCACACGTCCGGGTTTAAGTTCCCCAAAATATAGCTTGAAAAATTGCATTGAATATATGTGAGTTCCGAAAAATCCTACTTTTGTTCTTCTAGGTATACTTTTAGTCATGCAAACCTGTACGACTCAATATCTTTCAGGACATTCTCTTATGTATTAAGGCTTTATAGGATAACCTCAGATAGGATACCTCGTTTCGTAGTACAATCTAGTTTAGTTTATTTCTGATATATACATGAAACCCACTTCAAGAATGCCAGAATACGTGCATTGCGCTTCGACTCATTTCCATTATTTTGATAAGAGTATCCTGCTGTGCAGAAAATACGATTTTTCCGTATCCACTATCACGCTGCCACTTCTTATCTGCCACCAGCGAGGCCACTAGTTTTGCCTTGCCCATATATGCTTCACCTTACATTTTTAATACAGGGCATTCTAGAATAACAAAGATGTCGTTACTTCGTTTCCACAAGATTGGAACAAGAATATCAAATCATTATTT